CGTGGAGTGATATGAGATCATGGGTCAAACAGGAGATGGCAAAAGTAAACATTGACGTTTTAGGAATCAGCAAACTAAAATGGACTAGAATGGGTGAATTTAACTCAGATGACCATTATATCTACTATTGTGGGCAAGAATCCCTTAAAAGAACTTGAGTAGCCATCATAGTCAACAAAAGTCAAATGCACTACTTGGATGCAATCTCCAAAATAACAGAATGATCCCTCTTCATCTACAAGGCAAACAATTCAGTATCACAGTATCAGTAATGCTGAAGAAGCTGAAGTTGAATGGTTCTACGAAGACCTACAAGACCTTCTAGAACTAACACCCCAAAAAAAGGTGTCGTTTTCATCATAGGGGACTGGAATGCAAAAGTAGGAAGTCAACAGACACCTGGTGTAACAGGCAAATTTGGCCTTGGAGTACAAAGCAAAGCAGGGCAAAGGCTAATAGAGTTTTGACGAAAGAACGCACTGGTCATAGCAAACACCCTCTTCCAACAACACAAGAGAAGACTCTACACATGGACATCACCGGGTGATCAACACAGAAATCAAATTGATTGTATTCTTTGCAGCCAAAGAGGGAGAAGCTCTATAGAGTCAGCAAAAACAAGACTGGGAGCTGACTGTGGCTCAAATCATGAACTCCTGATTGCCAAATTGAGACTTAAATTGAAGAAAGTAGGAAAAACCACTAGACCATTCAAGTGTGACCTAAATCAAATCCCTTACAATTAAACAGTGGAAGTGACAAATAGATTCAAGGGATTAGATCTGACAGAGTGCCTGAAGAACTACGGATGGAGGTTCGTGACATTGTACAGGAGACACTGATCAATACCATCCCCAAGAAAAAGAAATGCAAAAAGGCAAATTGATTGTCTGAGGAGGCCTTACAAATAGCTGAGAAAAGAAAAGACATGAAAGGCAAAGGAGAAAAGGAAATATGCCCATTTGAATGCAGAGTTTCAAAGAATAGCCAGGAGAGATCAGTGATCAGAGCAAAGAAATAGAGGAAAACAATAGAATGGGAAAGACTAGAGATCTCTTCAAGAAAATTAGATACCAAGAGAACATTTATGCAAAGATGGTCATAATAAAGCATAATAAAGGACAGAAATGGTGTGGACCTAACAGAAGCAGAAGATATTAAGAAGAGGCGGCAAGAATACACAGAAGAACTGTGCAAAAATGATCTTAATGACTCAGATAATGATGACGGTGTGATCACTGACCTAGAGCCAGACATCCTGGAATATGAAGTCAAGCGGGCCTTAGGAGGCATCACTATGAACAAAACTAGAGGAGGTGATGGAATTCCAGCTAAGCTATTTCAAATCCTAAAAGATGATGCTGTGAAAGTGCTGCACTCAATATGCCAGCAAATTTGGAAAACTCAGCAGTGGCCACAGGACTGGAAAAGGTCAGTTTTCTTTCCAATCCCAAAGAAAAGCAATCCCAAAGAATGCTCAAACTACCACACGATTGCACTCATCTCACACGCTAGTAAAGTAATGCTCAAAATTCTCCAAGCCAGGATTCAACAGTACGTGAACCGTGAACTTCCAGATGTTCAAGCTGGATTTAGAAAAGGCAGAGGAACCAGAGATCAAATCGCCAACATCCGTTGGATCATCAATAAAGCAAGAGAGTTCCAGAAAAACATCTTCTTCTATTTTATTGACTACGCCAAAAGCCTTTGACTGTGTGGATCACAACAAACTGAAAAATTCTTAAAGAGATGGGAATAACAGACCACCTGACCTGCTTCCTAAGAAATCTGTATGTAGGTCAAGAAGCAACAGTTAGAACTGGACATGGAACAGCAGACTAGTTCCAAATTGGGAAAGGAGTATGTCAAGGCTGTATATTGTCACCCTGCTTATTTAACTTATATGCAGAGTACATCATGAGAAATGTTGGGCTGGAGGAAGCACAAGCTGGAATCAAGATTGCCGGGAGAAATATCAATAACCTCAGATATGCAGATGACACCACCCTTATGGCTGAAAGTGAAGAACTAAACAACCTCTTGATGAAAGTGAAAGAGCAGAGTGAAAAAGTTGACTTAAAACTCAACATTCAGAAAACTAAGATCATGGCATCTGGTCCCATCACTTCATGGCAAGTAGATGAGGAAACAACAGAAACAGTGACAGACTTTATTTTTTTGGGCTCCAAAATCACTGCAGATGGTGACTGCAGCCTTGAAATTAAAAGACAATTGCTCCTTGAAAGAAAAGCTATGACCTACCTAGACTGCATATTAAAAAGCAGAGACATTACTTTGCCGACAAAAGTCCATCTAGTCAAAGTTATTGTTTTTCCAGTAGTCATGTATGGATGTGAGAACTGTGGTGTTGTAGAAGACTCTTGAGAGTCCCTTGGACAGCAAGGAGATCCAACCAGTCCATCCTAAAGGAAATCAGTCCTGAATATTCATTGGAAGGACTGATGTTGAAGCTGAAGCTCCAATACTTTGGCCACCTGATTCAAAGAGCTGACTCATTGGAAAAGACCCTGATGCTGGAAAAGATTGAAGTTAGGAGGAGAAGGGGATGACAGAGGATGAGATGGTTGGATGGCATCACCAACTCAGTAGACATGAGTTTGCATAAACTCCGGATTTGGTGATGGACAGGGAGGCCTCGTGTGCTGCAGTCCACAGGGTTGCAAAGAGTCGGACACGACTGAGCGACTGAACTGAACTGAACTGAAGGAATGTTCATAGCACAAGAAGTAAAGGCCACTGACGGAAACTTACAGTTCACCAAGGGTTAAGAGGTGGATGCAAGAGGAGTTTAAACAGGAAAATGGGGATCAAAACAGAAGAAGAAACAAGCAAATGTATTAGCACAGAATCCCAGGGAAGAGAGCCTTTCATGAAAGAACACAGGAATCAACTGCCTGTCAGTGATCAAATTTGAGACGGACCAAAATGAGGTTTCCAGATTTAGCAACAAATGACTCTACACATATTTATACTTTAATATTTAACTTAAGCTCTGTAAGATGATTCCATTATATCTCCCTACAAGATAATCGAGTTCAGAGTATATGTCTGCTGATTCCTTTATCCCTAGGACCAAACACATATAATGGATAAATGAATGTTTTTGTTTTATGAATGAGTAAATTAGGGCAAGGGTTTCTCAGGTGACTCTGTGGTAAAGAATCTGCCTGCCAATTCAGGAGATGTGGGTTGGGTCCCTGGGTCAGGAAGATTCCTTGGAGAAGGAAATGGCAACCCACTATCTTGCGTGGGAAATCCCAGGGACAAAAGAACCTGGCAGGCTACTGTCCAATGGGATCTCAAAGAGTTAGACATGACTTAGCAACTAAACAACAACACAAATTTGGGGACATAGAAATATACTTAATGGTGCTAGGTCAAAGACAGATCAGGAAAGAGTTTTCTTTCCCAAGTGAAGTCTTATGCACAAAAGAAAGAATTGCTATGGTGAATAAAAATATATCTACAAGAAAGAATTATCAAAACAATTTAGGAAGTATTTGTAGCTGGTTTTAGGAAAAGTTTTCTTCCCGACTGCCCCTTGCCCTCAAATATTCACCTAGTCTACTTGATGATTCCTTCTTTTGAAAAAATCATCTGAAGCTATTGCTACGAAACACAAGTTCATGTGCCCAATGCAAGTGAGATGAAACAAATCAAACATCAGGAGTTGGAGCACAGAAAGATTTATTGCAGGGTCATGCAGGGAGACAGGTGGCTTGTATCTGAAAAGCCCCCAACTCCTCGAAGGGTTTTAGCAAATCATTTTCCAAGGCAAGATGAGAGTTGTTGCCAACTTCTTGATGGAGGAATCATTTGTTCTTTCAGTTGCCCGTGTAAGTCAGTCACAATGTTCCTGTAAACTTCCAACAAGACAAATATTATTGTTTCTTCTGCAACTCTTTAATCTCTAAATGAATGGACTCTTAAAAGCCAGAGCCTTAAGAATAGGCTATCCTATATATTTCAGGCTATAGGCAACATTCTCTTATAAAAGGCACAGAATCAGCAAGACTAAACACGGGCAACAAAGCAAAAGTTCAAAGCAAAACATATATTAAGCTAAATGCAGAAAATTCAGAAATAAACAATGTCGCTACAGTGGAGTATACTCAGGAATGAGCACAATTTAAAAATGTGACTTCCCCTCTGTGACTTTAGAGACAGTTACAAAGCATTTGCTTCATAATGACTTAAGTATATGCATGTTAATATTTTTTATGCATTTCAATTTTTTAAATATTATTTAAAATACAGAATGTCCTGTTTATAATGCTCCCCTCGATTTTTTAATTGAGAAGACATGTCCAAGTAGCAATTTGAGGGCTTCCCTGGTAGCTCAGTGGTAAAGAATCTGCCTGCCAATGCAGGAGACATGATTGGACCCCTGATCTGGGAAGCGGAGCAACTAAGCCCATCTGTCATAAGTACTGAGCCTGAGCTTACAGCCCGGGGGTCCCAGCCGCTGAGCCCTCCTGCCACAGTTCCTGCAGCCTGCAAACCCTAGTTCCTTGTGATCTGCAACAAGAGAAGCCACAGCGATGAAAAGCCTGCGCACCGCAGCCAGAGAGTAGCCCCCACTGGCTGCAGACAGAGAAAACCCTGCGCAGCAACAAAGACCCAGCACAGCCAGAAATGAATGCTCAAATGAAGGCTTTAAAAAGGAAAAAAAAAGCAGCAACTTGAATCTGGCAAAGAAAATGTGTCTTCTCATGGGTTAAGTTTATACAGAAGACAAGTGGGGGAAAAAACCCTTTGAAAGACAAATCCATCGTGCTTCCTGCCAAAAAGGGCATAATACTTCCTCGTTGTCATTAATGAAAGATAACACACGCTTTTCAAAGTTCCGTAAGACGTTCCAAACAAAGAAAACACTGGAATGAGTCACCTGTTTCCCCATTCAAGGTTAAGAAGCCATATAAATTTCTCCAGCCTCCGGCACAGAACACCAAATGCCCTGTAAGCACGAGGCGGCAGCTATGCGGCTGGCGCTGCTCTGCGCCGCGTGCCTGCTGCCCGGCAGCCCGGCCCTGCCGCTCGGCCCGGGCCCGGCAGGCGAGGGCGACCCGCGCTGGCAGCTGGCTCAGGTACGTCTCTGGCCCGCTCTCCCGGGCCGCCACGGGCTTTCCAGACAAACTGTGCTTTGCCACTTTAATAACTTTCCCGATTATAAAGGCAATATATGCTTTAATCAAGTAGCGATTAAGTGCAGGCTCTGAAGCCTGCCCAAAGGGGATTCAAGTTCCACCTCCTCCACTCTACTGCGTGGATGGACAGAGGCATCTTATTAACCTTTGAGCTTCGGTTTTCTAGCTGGAAGATATGATATCAATCAAATGGGGGTGATGTGAAACAACATCCCTGAGACATATTATATAGATTGAAGCTTTTGCAGGTACTACCATGTATTGCGACTTGAGATAGTCTCTTAAAGAGCAAAGAGATGCCGCTCAAGATGAGGACCCTAGTGATGGAGAGACCTGAGAACAGAAAATGAGGGTAGATGTTGCAGCTCTCCTGCTGATAAACGGAAGATGATGGGTGAGGCATGAACTTCTGCCCGTTTTCTTATATATCCAGTGGAAACAGTAATACTGTGTTTTATACCTGGAGGAGTCTAGCAAATAAATGAAGTGGTAACAATACCAACTATCATGTATGTAACAACTTCAGATTATGAAATACGCCCTATATGTGATGTCATTGAATCCTCAGCTCTATCCTGGGAGAAAGAAAAAACCAAAGTAAAGTTGATTCACATCCCACATACTTGCTAACTGCAGAGACAAGAGTCAAGAACAGGTTCTGGTTCAAAACTCATGTACTTTCCAATATACTACTTAATAATTACCCTAATGTGAGCGAGGGACAGAAAGTGTTAGTGGCTCAGTTGAGTCCAACTCTTTTCCGACCCCGTGGACGATAGGTCTCCTCTGCCCGTGGGATTCTCCAGGCAAGAATACTGGAGTGGGTGGCCATTCCCTTCTCCAGGGGATCTTCCTGACCCAGGGATCGAACCCATGTCTCCTTGGGTTCCCCTTCAGATTCTTTACCAGCTGAGCCACCAGAGAACCCGAAAGTCTAAGTAATTATTACTTGGTAAAAGTATTGTTTATAACTTTAAGCTTTAAGCGTAAGAAAAGTTGAGTTCTATTTCACACTAACTTTGACTTTTTTTAAAAGTCCCTGTAACATGTTGGATTGAACCATATGAAATTACTGATATTTGACCTTTTTTAAAAAATGTATTTATTTTATTTTTGGCTGCGCTGGGTCTTCTTACTGTGGTGTGGGCTTCCTCCAGTTGCAGGGCATGGCCTTCTCATCACGGTGGCGTCTCTTGTAAGGACGATAGGCTCAGCAGCTGTGGCATATGGGCTTAGTTGCGCCACAGCGTGGGGAATCCTCCCAGAGCAGGGGTCAAACCCATGTCCTCTGCATTGGCAGGCAGAGTTTTAACACCTGGACCATCAGGGAGGTCCTATTTGACTGTTTTCTTTTGATCTGAAAAACGTCCATTTCGTATGGTTCCACCTTCTGGATTCTCCAGAGGGAGTCCACTTGCAGGAGTGTTGAGCCCCTTCACCCAGGGTGCAGATTGCCAGTAAACCAGAGGGAGGTTCTCTAGCTTTAAAGGAAGGTAGGAAAACTCATCTCAAGGATTCAGAGAGATTTCTTCCAGAGGGTGTCTTTGCAAAACTGGTAGCTCTGGAAGGGAGAAAATGAGCTATTTGTTTTTAAATCAGGAATTAACTCGCAACTGTCATGGATGAACAGTGAGTACTTGTATTGAATGAAACACAGTCCTTGGGAACAGGAAGAGAGAGCTTCTTACTGCTGAGATTACTTACGTGAAGTTCATACTCCTAACTCATTTCGACGGCACTATCACACATTATCATGATGCTGTATGGTTTTCTGAGGAAATGAGCTTTGGAATCAGAATAGGAGTTCAAACACCCGATCCTTTGGTTACTCATGGGGTGACTTCATGCAAGTTATTCCCCTTCTCGGAGCCATGATTCTTCAAATGTGAAATAGGAAAGTATTGCCATACCCAACTTACAGGGTGGTTATGAGATTTAAATCTGATAAGCATATAAAGCTCTTGGTCTGGTCCCTGCCACTAGTAAGTGCTTCATCAAGGTTCTTGTGAGGCTGTTGCTGCTGTTGTTATTTTCATTCACTTTCTATTTTTTCCTATTTAGGCTGCGGGACCGCTATCCTCACACCCATTCACTGAGGTCCTTTAAGAAATTCCCAGGGACCTAACTGCACATGGAACACACCTAAGAAACCTTCTTTACCTTACAGCTTCACAAAGAGGGTTTTACAAAGAATTTAGCTATGGAAAGAGCGCTGACATGGCAAGCAGTCAAGAAACTCAGGACCAGTTTGCCTACTAACTTAATACATGACCGTGGAGCAAGTCATTTAGTTACTGAGTTTTGATTTCTTCACCTAGAGAATGAAATAATGTCCTAACATCCTTTCCCAGGACTAAAAGGTTAAGGGCTTTAACCTCAGGGGACCTGACCTCCAGAGAGTCTTAGAAAGGGCTGGGTGACTTTGGATCTCCCCAAAGGGTCTCTGATGCCAAGAGCAGACCTCAGGTGTGCACCTTGAGGGCACACCGGGCACTCTTCCTGACTGTTAAAACAAGTCTGTGTTTTATAAATTACACAGTGGGTTTCTCCTCAAAACATTTAATGGGACAATAGAAAAATAGAGGGACTCTTTTCTTTCGGCCATGAAAAGAAATGCAATGACTCATCATCAATATTAAATTTTCTTCTCATGAATGCACTCTTTTTTTACCTGGTTACTGTGTAACTATTTTGCCTTCAAACTACTATTTGGGTTCATAGGAATCAGAGGCAAAGTTGTGCAGACTTCTGAGATAAAGAAGACAAGAAACAAGAATTACAGATCAATTACTCTCTTTCCAACAGGACTATCTCAAGAGATTTTATGCATCTGACTCAAAAATCAAGAATGCCAATAGTTTAGAAGTCAGACTCAAGCGGATGGAAGGATTCTTTCACCTGCCTATAACTGGAATATTAAGCCCCCGTATTATAGAGATCATGCAGAAGCCCAGATGTGGAGTACCAGATGTTGCAGAATATTCATTATTCCCAAATCACCCAAAATGGACTTCCAAAGTAGTCACCTACAGGTCAGTTTTGCTTTGGCTCATTTTGGCAAAAAACAATATAGCCTTTTTCCTAAAAGGTCAAACATTGTTTTCTTGCTTGCTACCAGGATCATGTCATATACTTCAGACTTACCACATATCACAGTGAATCAATTAGTGGCTAAGGCCCTCAAAATATGGAGCGAAGAGATCCCACTGACGTTTAAGAGAGTTAGATGGGGAACTGCTGATATCATGATTGGCTTCGCAAGAAGAGGTAAGGAAGATTCCTTCAGGCTGATCTTGTGTGCTGTTTTGCTTGTTGTTTATATCAGTGCCCTCCTGTTTTCCAGATTTAAAATCTTTAATGAGATATAGATAGATGATAGACAGATACATAGATCCCATTAATGGGATACAAATATAAAGATATAAAGATATGTCAATGTTACTACATTTTTTCTAGCCCATTAATTTAGAGCCACTTTTTATAGCAGAAAATGGCAAACTATGACCCATGTGCCAAATCTGTAAATAAATATTTATTGGAACATAGTCATTCAGTTCAGTTCAGTCACTCAGTCATGTCTGACTCTTTGAGACCCCATGGACTGCAGCACGCCAGGCTTCCCTGTCCATCACCAGCTCCAGGAGCTTACTCAAACTTAGGTCCGTTGAACCTGGGTCTCCTGCAATGCAGGCACATTCTTTACCAACCGAGCTATGAGGGAAACCCAAACATAGCCATGTTCTTTCATTTACCTGTTGTCTGTGAGTGCTTTGGGGCTACAATGACAGACTTTAGTAAATGCAACAGAGATCATGAAGCCCACAAATCTGGTCCTTTGCAGAAAAAGTTTGCCAACCTCTATTTTATAACATCAATCATTTTATATACATATATAAATTATAAGCAAGGGCTTCCCAGGTGCACTAGTGGTAAAGAACCTGCCTGCCAGTGCAGGAGACATATGAAACACGTGTCTGATCCCTGGGTTGGGAAGGTCCCCTGGAGGAGGACATGGTAACCCACTCCAGTACCCTTGCCTGGAGAATCCCGTGGACAGACAAGTCAGGCAGGCTACAGTCCACAGGGTCACAGAGAGTCAGACATGACTGAAGCAACTTAGCATGCACGCACATATTTAAGCAAAAGAAGAGGTTACAACTTTCAAAGGCCTTAAGTGGTCTCCAAGAAGTGAGCTGCCCCTGTGGCCTATTGCCAACACCTTTCATGTATTTAGTAAGAAAGCAGAAAATAGAAAATTTTATATTAAAGGGCTTAAGGAGATAAAACCCATATTCATGAACTGCTATTAATTACTGATGTTTCATGGTGCAAATTTTAGAGGAAAATATTACTCTTGTGGTCTGTTTTAATATTACACTTCATGGGTGCTGTGAATTTAGCTGAAATTTAAACTTAAACCGCAATATTGACAAGCGTGAAGAAAACCTTACAGAAAGCACTGACATGACACTCCATGCTTTTTTTTTTGGGTGCCTTTTTATTTATTTATTTTTTTCATTTATTTTTATTAGTTGGAAGCTAATTACTTTACAGTATTGTAGTGGTTTTTGTCATACATTGACATGAATCAGCCATGCTTTTTAGGAACTGGATAAACCAGATATGGCCAGATGACAATCTGAAAATAAAATTCTCTGCATCACAAATAAAAGCACATCAAAATCCCCATTTTAAGACACCTTGAGCACAGTTCTTCAAGAAACTATCTGCTATACTCACAAAGAATAAGCTAGGTTTTTAAGAAAACTTACATAAATGATATTCAATTACCTGCTGAATCCAGTATTCTCCACTCTGCCACCATGCAGCAAAGGAAAGTGATCAAATTTAACATTTAGATGCCACCATAAATCAGATGTGAATGTTTTTAAAGTCTTGCATCAGTAAGCTTTCAAAATGTGGAGGTTATCAGGGATGAGCAGCAGTTGTATGAAAGAAAAAGTTCCTCTAACAAACAAATACCCAAACCACCCTGTCATGCAGCTGGCTGCTTGGACTGATCTTTTTCACCTCAATAATATTATAAACTAAAAGATGGAATGACTGGATATAGATTCAGTGTCTAAAGGCAATCAACCTGTTTTCTTTCAGCTCACGGGGACTCGTATCCCTTTGATGGACCAGGAGCCACACTGGCTCACGCCTTTGCACCTGGGCCAGGCCTGGGAGGAGATGCTCACTTCGATGAGGATGAGCTCTGGACTGATGGCAGCGGGATAGGTACAGCATCCTGTGTCTCTTCCATTACACATCCTTTTCAAAATCCTCAACTTTCTATATCTTAACTATCTCTAATTTTGATAATTGCTTTAATTAATAGTAATTATCTAGTCTTGCTAATTGCCAACCTCTGTGCTTTAAATGTGCTCATAAATTTCCACGTATGGAAGATGGAGCCTTGGACTATAGAGTCAAGTAACATTGGGTTCAATTTGCTCTACCTCTACCAATTACTCACATTCTCTTTGGACAAGTTATTTAACTTCTCTGAGCCTCAGTTTCCTCATCTGTGAAATGGAACTGTAAGTAATTCCCACCTCACAGGATTGTTATTTGAATTAAATGAGATAATGCTTATACAATGCTTAGCATAGTGCTTGGAATATATTAACATTTCAATGAATTATAACTCTTTTGTATATATCCCCAAAATATTTTTTAGTTAAAGGAGAAAAAGGAGCAGAGACTATGATATTTGGAGAATTGTATATAATTCTAGTATTATTCGGGCTTCCTAGTTTCCTCTAGTCATAAGTAACCCACATGCCAATGCAGGAGATATAAAGATACAGGTTCGATCCCTGGGACAGGAAGATCCCCTGGAGGAGGGCCATCCAGTCCAATATTCTTGCCAGGAGAATCCCATGGACAGAGAATCCTGTTGGACTACAGTCCATAGCATTGAAAGACATGGGCATGACTGAAGCGACAGCACACACACTAATATTAGTCACTATTGGTCAGAAAGAACCCATACTATAACCCAGCCCACTGTAGTCATCATTTTACAAAGTGGAAGATTATAGACAAAACAGAAAACTAATGAAGAGAAGCTCTAGATAAATAATCCTAATTGGAGACAATGCTTTTAAAAAATTGGCTACTAACGGGCTCTGAAAGTGAAATGAATCCTTGTGTTTGGCAATGGGAATTCACCACCATAGTGATGCCTTGCTGTGAAAATCTAACCTGTGTAAAATTATGGCCCTGCTTCCATTTCACATATTGCATGTATTTTTCATTCTTCCCTCTTCCCACTCAAAGTAAAGACACCTTCCTTCAATCTAATGCACCATGATTGGAACTCTGGCCCCTCAAACTCACACACTCACAATTTCCTTCTTATTTGCAAAACCTATCTGTGAGTCTGAGGGAGAGAGAACATACATTTAACGCACTTTAACAAATCGAAAGCAAACTGCAGTCTTGCCTGGAGGGCCTGCCCTGCAGTCGTGCTTTCTTGAAACCAACTTTATCTCTCCTGCTATTCAGAGCCACTATCATTTATTGGATATTCATCATTTTTCAGATATTGGGAAATTTGAGTTATTATGACAAATATTCAAGGTCAGAATTATTATCTCCATTTAACAGATGAGGAACTGAGACTCAGCAATACCCATTAATTTGTCCATAGTTGTCCAGCTAGTAAGTAGCTGAGCGAGGTTTCAAACTCAGGTCTTTATATTTTTTTAAAGCCTTTGCTTTCTGCTTCTGAACACTGTTGAATGATTACATAAGAAGAAAATAGACAGAAAAAAAAATTATATTTTCTTAAAACCAGAAGTGGTGATAAGATTAAAGTACTACTTTTCTGATTCCTCTTTTAAACCCACCCCCTCATGAAGGCCTGGAAACAAATAAGAAAACTATGGAGGATTTGAAGAATTAGGTATCTTATAGTTTAATTTTCATTATCTGTTTTGATGTTATTATACAGATAGTTATTTTTACAGTCACTATATGTCTCTCTTTGGTTTCAGGAGTTAACTTCCTGTATGTTGCAACACATGAGCTTGGCCATTCCTTAGGTCTGAGTCATTCGTCTGATCCTAATGCTGTGATGTATCCAACCTACAGCAAAGAAGATTCCAAGAACTTCAAACTTTCACAGGATGATATCAACGGAATTCAGATGTTATACGGTAATATTTATGATTTCCATATTTCCATAAGGAGGCATAGTCTCCTTATGGTAGGCTTGAATGAGAAAGCCTGGGAAATAGGTATTTACTTTGAAAAACACACTGGAACATATATATCTAAAAGCCTATTGAGGGGAGAAATTTGAGACATTGGATACTTGAAATTTAATCAGACTATCTTATACTATGAGGATATTTATACTCTGATTTTAAGTTTTCAGTAATATAGTATCATTTGATGAAATCGTGGAAAAGAAACTTCAAGGGGTTTTTCCTTAAGCTGTAACTCATTCTTCCTTCTGGCTGGATTCAAGTACCTGAGCGGAGGCTCCCCCACAGGGATAGACTGAGGAATATAACACCTTCTCCCGGGGTTTCCCACTCCCACAGATTTGGCCCTAGAGGAGGAAAAGTGACCTAATTTTTCCTGCCTGCATATGTACATAGGGAAAGGGGCTAACCATCAACAGTGACAATTGCTAGTCATGATGTGTATGAATATCCCATGTCCCAATCTACACTTTTTTGTTTTAATCAAATTCCAAACTCAGTTTAAAAAAAATAAAATGATTTGTATTTGCTTGATCAAGCCAGAAAGAGTATTGTGAGAAAGAAATCAAAGGACAAGGATAAAAAGCTATGTCTCCAGGCAAATGAATGATTTAATTATATAGGTATTAAATATAAGGAGTTTATTAATCCAAGAAGTGATGAGAGCAGAAAATATAATAGTAGGAATCAAAGAAGCTAAATAAATCATCCGAGGACAAATTCTTGGTTCTTGAACAAAAATTCCAAACCAGGGCTTCATGACTTCACATCTTTCTGCTACACAATTCAGCTGATCACTACTTAGTATGTTTTTAAAAGCAATTTGGAAAAGAGAATACATACAGAATGATACCTTTAAGTAAACAGATACAATTAAGCTTTTCTGGCAAAAATGTCAGGATGATAAGAATACACTGCATAAAGATCACCTGAGAGCCTTTGAATGTTCAGAAAAGCAATGAACGTGTTTCCACATAATAAATAATGTAATGTCCTCGGAGGGAAATTACTCCTATAAGATAACAGATTGAAGCTGCAATTTACTATTAATCAACTTTTCTCAAATTGTGTTCCCAGAACACTGGTCCTACCAGACAATTCCCGCCCCCACCCGGCCCCCACCAAAAAAAAGATGCTTTGGAGAAACAAATTCAAAAACCACTACCTATTGTATTTGAGGTAGACCAGATGTTACAGAGAACCTAACAAACTCTCGTTTAATTCAGCGTTTCCTAAATTACAATCCTCTGTGTGGAACACCCATTGAACCCTCTCAGAATAGCATTTCAAAGAAGACAGTTTGGAAAATATCATGTAACTGTACCTCAAAGTTCTTATTTAAGGAGATGCTGCTGTCAAAAAAGCTCACGAAACACTGACAATTGTTGGCAGTTATCACCAACAAAGTAGAAAATATTATTAGTACCTCCCCTTATATAAAACCATGGAACTCATGGATTAGTGCTTTAAATCCTATGTTTTAGAGAGTGAGGTGCCTCCAGTCAAAGTTGGAAAGAGGTAGCTTCTGGATAAATTAAAGCAAGATTTAATTATATAGGTATTAAATGTAAGGTGTTTGTTAATCCAAGAAGTGATGTGAGCAGAAAATGTAAACTCAAAAGAATGTGATTAAACTCACAAGTGTAAAATTCCCAACATTCTTTTCAGGATAATAAAAATAATAGCTAAAATGCATCAAGTTTATATAGCATACCAAGCATTTCACATGCATTAGCTTGTTTATTCCAACAATCCAGTAAATTATTCGTGCTCTTGTTCTATAGATTGGTAATCTAATACAAAGAGAGGCTATTAATAAGGAGTATCTTACCCAAGATCATGCAACTGGTAAAATGGCAGACACAGGATGCAAAAGTATTTGACCCCCAAGGCCTACACACAGTGCTGCCTTTTTAGCCTTTGGAAGGTTAATCTTCAAAATTTGTCCCAGGCATAGAAAAGTGGGCTGGATGAATGAGTACCTACTGCAACACTTCTTGTGTTTTTTTTAGTCTTAGGATTTGTGTGTGTGTGTTTTATACAATGCCAGAATGTTCTTATTTTTGTCTCTTAACAGGAAAGAGAAATTATTCAAGAAAAAAATAGAAACTTCAGCAAGAACACACATTCATTCATTGGATTCTATGTAACCATTCCCAGCCAGAATTAATGAACACTGTTCCTGCCTTCCATTTAACACTTGCTGCCTCCAACCTTGTATTGTGGTTGGTTTTTATGTCTCTCTCTCCATTTGCGGATAAACTTTGTTTACAACATCACTATGTCTTACTCATCTATGACTCTCCTCAAGCAAGATGCACTTGATGGATGTCAATAAATGTTAAACATACAGATAAATACAATTTTTATTTCTTGGTAAAACTATTCTGGCTTCCCAGGTGGTACAGTAGTAAAGAATCTGCGTGCCAGTGCAGGAGACCCTGGAGACTCGGGCTCAATCCCTGAGTTAAGAAGATCCCCTGGAGTGGGCAGTGGTAACCTGCTCCAGTATTCTTGCCTGGAAGATTCCATGGACAGAAGAGTCTGGCAGGCTGCAGTCCATGGGGCGGCAAAGAGTCGGACACGACTGAAGTGACCAGGTACAAAAATGATTTCTATTTGGGAGGACTGTGGCAAAAGAAGACATGCCATACAATGAAATCAAAGGCAGAAACCAAAAACATAAGTAACCCCAGCACATTATTTTGGGTGTTCAGTTGCCCCTGACCTATTATCAGGTCAGGTATAGTGTAATATAACCCAAGACAGTACAGCCCAAAAGTACACTAAGTTCCCCTCACCCTTTGGGTCAAGTGCTCACTCTGAGTATTCTGGGTAGTCCAGTGCTTCCCCCAAAACACGTGTGAATTCCCAAGGATTTGCATTCTTATGGTCACTCCCAGTGCCAAGCTCCCCCCCCCCGACCTGACCTCACTCCATCTCTCCCACCACAGCTGCCCTGGCCCCCCTCCTCTGTCCCACAGCATCCCAGATATGTCTCACCCTCTTCTCTCTTCCTTTGTCCAAACCAGTCCTACAGACCTTGTGAGATTTGTATCAACCGTGCAGTTTTACACTGCACTAGGACAATGATTGACCAAAACTCCATTTGGATATTATCCTCATCCTTCACATCCTTGACGCATCCCAGCATCAGGAATTTCCCACTGGCCACCTGCCCCTGCAGGCCCCAACCTCCTCCCTCGTCTCTCCTAATCTTCAGATCTCTACACCCTGGTCCTTGTCGCTTCCCCCGCAAGCTCATCTCCTGCAGTCCAGGGAGCTCTCCCTTTCCGGGCATAGAGACTCACTACCGTGTTTCTGTGGGAAAAGCACTCTCTGTGCAGGGCTTAACCCTTCAGCAGGACACAGAGCCGGAAAAGGCTTTTCTTTCAGCTGTTCCTCCTCCATACTCCATACACCTCTGCATGGTTTTCTCTGCAAATGGAGGGATGAATATTTGGAATTGATTTTCTTTCTGATACAAATTACACCACACATAAGCACCCCGAGAAGATCTGTTATTTCCCAAAATGTATCAGTAATTGAAAACTCAGAAATAGCACCAAAACCATTAGGAAGCCATTCCAAGAACAGATAAAATGAGAGGGGGATCCACTACCTAGGCAAAATATAAGGTACATATGAATAGGAGTTCAAAGACTTTTTTAGAAACATAAGGGAACAGGTTTATAATAAAAATGTAGAAGACAGAAGTCATTAAAGTTCCTCATTTTGTAGATGATAAGACAGATCAAGAGAAATTAAGTGATTTCCATCAATTTCATAGTAAACAAATGTCTTGTATTTAAAGCATTTCTTGTTTTTTTGTTTGCCAGTTTGCATTTTGCTTTGGGCAGCGGAAGGCAGTACCTATCTTGCAGCTAAAATGCATTTTAATTGTTTTTACCTGCCCAGCATCCTTTCACCCTACTTTTGGGGATAGGGACTGTCTTTCTCCTTTGTAGACTGTCTTAGTGAGACATCACTAAATATGCCACATACTGCCGGGGCTGAGAAAGGGGTACATAACCCAAGCTTGGCCTCTCGGACACTCACCTATAAACACCAGAGGCTGATTTACCCTGGCAGTGGATTTTGGCGATACTGCCTGCTCAGTCCTACACGCAGATAAATCTCTGAAGCTGCTTTGGGTCCTGTCCTACAAACAGCTTAGGTACAGGGCTTCTCTTTGAGGTTTTGCAGCTGACTGTAGGGCCTTCCAATAAATTTTATCATTTGCTTCTATTCACCAGAGTCAGTTTATGCCTGTTGTTTACAAATCTCTGCCACAGTAGCTTGACCAGCTCTCCTATGGTGTATGACACAAGGGTTCTGTTGCGTATCTCACCAGTCTTAAGTGTGAAGTGAAGCACTAACTGAGCATAGAAGCTGAATTTTATTATTCCTATGCAAAATGCCTAAAGCTCACTTCTAACTAGAAATTCTGCCTAGAAAATAAGAACCCATGTTCTTTTTTTTTAATTGTGGTTAAGTGCACATAATATAAAATGTACCGTTTCAGCCATTTTAAAATGTACAGTTCATATTACATATATCCATATTGTTGTGCAAGAGTAAATGTTCTTACCCTTAGCACTCTATTAGCACGTTCAACTGAATAATTCTTCATGAAAGGCTGTTCTGGGCATTGACTGATGCTCAGCAGCATCCCATGGCCTCTCCCCACTCAGTTCAGTTCAGTTCAGTCGCTGAGTTGTGTCCAACTGTTTGCAACCCCATGAACCACAGCACGCCAGGCCTCCCTGTCCATCACCAACTCCCAGAGTTTATTCAAACTCATGTCCATCGAGTCGGTGATGCCATCCAGCCATCTCATCCTTTGTCGCTCCCTTCTCCTCCCCACTAGATGCCAGTAAACCATCCTCAGTCATGGCAACCAAAGATGTCTTCAGTTTAGTTCAGTTCAGTTCAGTCACTCAGTCATGTCCGACTCTTTGCAGCCCCATGAATCGCAGCACGCCAGGTCTCCCTGTCCATCACCAACTCCTGGAGTTTACTCAAACTCATGTCCATCGAGTCGGTCATGCCATCCAGCCATCTCATCCTCTGTCGTCCCCTTCTCCTCCTGCCCCCAATCCCTCCCAGCATCAAGGTCTTTTTCAATGAGTCAGCTCTTCACATCAGGTGGCCAAAGTATTGGACTTTCAGCTTCAGCATCAGTCCTTCCAATGAACACCCAGGACTGATCTCCTTTAGGATGGACCGGCTGGATCTCCTTGCTGTCCAAGGGACTCTCAAGAGTCTTCTCCAACACCACAGTTCAAAAGCATCAATTTTTCGGCACTCAGCTTTCTTCACAGTCCAACTCTCACATCCATACATGACTACTGGAAAAACCATAGCCTTGACTAGACGGACCTTTGTTGGCAAAGTAATGTCTCTGCTTTTTAATATGCTGTCTAGATTGGTCATAGCTTTTCTTCCAAGGAGCAAGCGTCTTTTAATTTCATGGCTGCAGTCACCATCTGCAGTGATTTTGGAGCCCAAAAAAATAAAGTCTGTCACTCTTTCCCCTGTTTCCCCATCTATTTCCCATGAAGTGATGGGACCAGATGCCATGATCTTAGTTTTCTGAATGTTGAGTTTTAAGCCAACTTTCTCACTCTCCTTTTTCATTTTCATCAAGAGGCTTTTTAGTTACTCTTCACTTTCTGCCATAAGGGTGGTGTCATCTGCATATCTGAGGTTATTTGTATTTCTCCCAGCAATCTTGATTCCAGCTTGTGCTTCCTCCAGCCCAATGTTTCTCATGATGTACTCTGCCTAGAAGTTAAATAAGAAGGGTGACAATATACAGCCTTGACATATTCCTTTTCCTATTTGGAACCAGTCTGTTGTTCCATGTCCAGTTCTAACTGTTGCTTCCTGACCTGCATATAGGTTTCTCAAGATGCAGGTCAGGTGGTCTGGTATTCCCATCTCTTTCAGAATTTTCCAGTTTATTGTGATCCACACAGTCAAAGCCTTTGGCATAGTCAGTAAAGCAGAAATAGTTGTCTTCAGACATTGCCAAATGACCTCTAAGGGGCAAAATAACCCTTAGTTGAGATCTATGAAGCTAAAGAAAATGAATTCTTATTTTAATGAATTATACACAATGTCCCTCTTTACTTTTTATCATCCCTTTCATCTGCTAATCTTGTGTCATCCCATGGGAAAGGAAAACCAATAAAAGATTAATGTGACTTTGCTTTTGAGACATTTATTTGACGAAAAGACTATAATATTTTAAGGAATAGAACCAACTTTATGTTAAAACAAAAATACTGCATACTTACAGAAGTTCACAAAACTGGTTTGTATTTTGTTGATTACTTTTATTGTTATCTTTTCTAATTGTAAGGTCAAATTCCAGTTTAAAATAGAAGGTTGAGCACAGAAATTTATCTTTACTTTCCTCTGAGTTTCCATCTAAGTGGTGGTAAGGCAATAAAATAGCATAGAAGGAGGTCTCTCCATGGACAAGGAATTTCAATAAATTTATGAAGACCTAATAGAGCTGATATGTGAAATATATCAAATTCAGTCTGGGGCATGTAAAGAGATCTCAAGTGGAAATGAGTGTCAACTATGGTGACAGGATGAAATGTAAATTTGATCAATCATGACAATAGAAAAATGTAGGAAATTGGAGAACATTGCCAATTCCATGTATTGTAAAACATAACATACATGTTTACATATTAACATTGCTAAAAATAAGATGACATCTTGCAGTTGGGGCTGGCAATTCTCCAGGAGATTTGGGTTTGCTCTTACCTATCACATGGAGCCCTATCAACCTAACAGCACTGTATACTGAATCATGTGCTTGGTTGTTTTCGCCATACTGTTCATGTGAATTCAGTCAGCAATTCTGTGGGAGTACCAGGTTGCCAACATCTGTTTGATCATAGAAAAAACAAGAGAGTTCCAGAAAAACATCTACTTCTGCTTTATTGACTATGCCAACGTCTTTGACTGTGTGGACCACAAAAAACTGTGGAAAATCCTTCAAGAGATGGGAATACCAGACCACCTTACCTGCCTCCTGAGAAATCTGTATGCAGGCCAAGAAGCAATAGTTAGAACCGGACATGGAA